CAATCACAGCTGTTAGTATATCAGAACGCCTGTGTAGTTTTGTAGAGACTATGTATTGCCTGTGTAGCTTGCTTTATATATATATGTGTGTGTGTGTTTGTGTGTAATCATCAGGTGCCTTGCCGACTGGCGTAGGCGATCATGCCTCTTCACAATCTGCGATCTCCTGCAGCATGTATCAGTTCGTTTGCCGACAAACCTCCATGACATGCAACAAGACTGTCAAGAATCTTCCTTCGTCGTCTTCCTCTCTCCCTCCTTCCACAGATCTTTCCAGTGGTCACAAAATGTTCTATTTTCCCTCTTCTCATAACATGGCCGAAAAATGAGGACTGTCTCCTTCTGATGTCTGTGATAAGTTGTCTTCGGGCTACCGCCTCTTTCAAAACCTCTTGGTTGCTCTTTTTGGCTGTCCAACCTAATCTAAGCATTCTTCTGTAAAACCACATCATTTACAGCCGTTTTTATCATCATTTTTACAGCAAATAAGATGGCAATAAGTCGGGCACATCATGGGGAGCAATGGACAGAGTATCGCCACACAAACACTGAAATGGGAAACAAATTATTTGAGGTTTTAAATCGAAGAGAAATCCTGAGACGAAGGTTGCTGAGAGAGGCCAATGGCGCTGGATTCCATCAATGACATCGAACGGACTCCATAGGATAGAACGAAACGGAAGACTAGACTCCGAGCCTTGTGTGACATTTAACAACACACACGAGTCCAACAGTTAAATAATGAGACAAAACGAAATCGCCATCACTGAAGCAAAAGATGTCATCCAAACAGGAACCCTTCATCTACGATCTAAAAAAAAAAAAAAACGGTCAGCAGATAAGTAACACGCCATTTTGTTTAGCTAGTGAAAGTTGCCTCGATGCGCATGCAGTGTGGGATCAATGGTGAACATTAATTATATTTCATTCCAGGAAAAGAGCTCGTGTTACACTTGCATCAAATAGTTTGTGCGGATCAATGTTTATCAATTTCAATCTCATATTCATTCGCCTTCATCCTTACGATCATAAACTGGTTTACGCCTATCGTTTCATTGGCTCTGGCAATGAGTTTACCATTACGAACAGAGATGGACTTCATGGCCCTGTGTATCGTCAGCCTTTTTCACACCAGTTTTGAATCGTGAACACAACCTCATGGTTCTACTTCTTAGACCATTTGCTAGATCATATTTTAGGGACGTAAAGTCATGGTCTAAAGTCATGTGATGTGGAAAGCAACGGGAAACTATCACATTACTATCCCAAGAAACTCATCATGGAATCCAAAAATGAGAATAGGAGCTTTTGAGCTGAAATGCTATAGAAAGATTCTCAGAATATCTTGGACAAAGAAGATGATTAATATTGACATCTTAAAAGATCTGAACATCAAGGAAGATTGGCTAATAAACAGCATCCTTTCTCGAAAGCTGAAATATTTTGGTCATATCAAGCGCCACGACGGATTGGAAAAATTTATAGCAGAAGGTATGGTACCAGGAAGGAGGGGCAGGGGCCGACTGACACGAAGATGGGCACAGGATATAAGTGACTCCTTGAGAGTGAAAGTGCATGAGGCGGGAGAACTGGAGAGAGACCGAGTTTCTTTCAGGCAGACTGTGATGAGAGCGACGTTCTGCAAAGGACCTGCTACATGATGATGATGATGAAGGTCAGTTACAGAAAAATCTGTCTCGGGGCGGTTTCTAACCCCAGCCCGTCAGCTGGCAGGCTACAATGCTACCCCGCTCCAACACCAGATGTAAATACATTTGCCGTGCTATTTTAATTCTTCCTTTTCTTCAGTGATTACATTTTGAAATAATTTTCTTCCACTCGTGCTGTGTACATTGTATCTTTCAGCGTAGCGTTTGGTACCAGTGTATTCTCATCAGATGGCCAATCCCTCTCATCTGTTGCTCTTTAATAACAAACTGAATGACTGGTTTCAGTCCTAGTCATAGAAAGTCATAGAGTCTACTGGCAAGACATCGACCTGGCTGCTTCGAGATACTAGGCAAAGTGATTTTTGTGGTAGCGTTTGATTTATGTATGTGCTCATGAAGGCTATATAGCAGCAACGTTCACGTTTTGTTTGTGTTTGATACTGTGAAGCTTGTTGGTAGCGTTTGATTTATATATGTGCTGATTAAGGCTATATAGCGGCAACGATCCCGTTTTGTTTGTGTTTGATATTGTAAAGCTTGCTGATATACTTTTCGTACGGAATCTTTTCTAGTCACAGAGAAGTCAGCACCATTGAAAAACCGGAAATAGTGAGGGGGAGGTAACCCGGAAGTGACTTATGCAATGTCCTCTGTTTATATAAAATAAAAGTTCTGAATGTTCAGACCTAAAGAGAAGGATGGTAAGAAGAGCACTAAATTAGCCAGCGAACACGCCTTGTTATGGTGGTTCTAGTTGCCCAGGACGCTTATATTTAGTTTGTTGATACAGCCTGACTTGGCTAAGAGGTATTTAAATTTTATTTGTTATAAACATAACTTATAACTTATATCGCTTCAAACTCAGCCATGGCCACCGTTATCACAGTCACAACATCGCTGTGTCAGTTAAAATGAAAAGGATCCTCAGTCAGTGATACCAAACCAGTTGTTAAATCATTGTTGTTAAGTTGGATGAGCTTGCAACAGCAGGTGAGTACGTCGCGCAGCCCCATCCATCACAGAGCTTTAACTCTTTCACCACAAACAGTTGGCAACTTTCTGTCCCAAAGTCTGTGTCCCAAGGAGCAAATCATACGTTCACAAGTATCTACATAGAAGCCTAATGAACACACTTTGCGCTGATTTTATGTCTCTCCTCACTACCCCTTGAGACAGTGATGCCAAACCCCCTGGAACTCAAAACGGATATTTTTTTTTTTCCAAAGTATTCAGAAACCACGAGTTGTAAACCCTTTGGCTCAGTACTACTATGGATATCGCAACTCTTCGGCCTTGATTCCATGATAGATACCGTAAATCTGGGAGGAATATGGCTTTTCTGCTTACCCCCAGGCGTTAACCCAGACCACAAGGAGTTCGTCACCCGGTTGCCGCGAGTTTAGGTTTAACCAACTATGCTTGCGAGCTGGGCTATAAAGAGATAAGATGAAATTATGAACTATGAAGGAGACATACAAGTCACAGGATCATGTGTCTTAGAAATAATTGGGTTAATGGTTAAGGTAGGTAGTTTCTCCCCTCCTAGATTGTAGTATGTAGGTTTAACATCACAAGGATAAGAGTACAACAGGTATACATCCCTGAAGCCTTCTAATAATATATTCATCTTCTTAGGCACTTTACCTTGAAATGGTGGTTGACATTTTCATTGTGGTTTTCAGCTAGGCTGCGATATATGCACTTTTTGTCCCAAGACATCCAACTTCAACAAACTCCTTGTTTGTGGGGCAGTGAGTCTATTTTGTTTCCTCCGATGTCTCCTGGAAGAAAAATATAAAAAGATTTATTGGAGACCCCCCTCTTTTTGCCGCCGCCTTTCTTCCGACAACATTATGCACCTGAGTATTGCAACATAGCATTGCCATATTAAAAGTTAATTGTGTGTACTTTACAGGACGTTGCAGAACCAACCCCACCACTTGTTGGCTGTGGTTTTTCTAGGCAAATTTTACATTCAATAGTTTACCAGGTGATGCCGGTGCTGTGAAGTTGATTCAACATTCAACCACTGCTTTCTCAATGGTCAGCTCTCGGCACCACTGTTGAAACCATTGCAAGGCGATCTGCTGCCAAATCATCTGCAGCTGCGATCAAACCAGCACCCTGGCATTACAAAGTTATTCTCAACGTCTAAGCCAAAAATAAATGTATATTTGGGGGGCACCACAACATGATGAACTGTATTAAAGGGTCATGGCATTAGGAAGGTCAAGAACCACTGGTGTAGACAGCCTTCAGTAACACATTATCCCTGTGTGGGTTCTAAGGCCCTATTGTGGGGAGAACAAGAATAGACCAACTGCTTGCCCAAAGGCATGTCGTAGGAGTCAACTAATTAGGAGCTGGCTTCGAACTCGGAGTACATTTGCCTGAGAGGCAAGGGACCAACAGTATGCATGCAAATTAGCTAGACCTGTGAAATGGATGTGCAGACAACTCTCAGTTTCTGGAATAGTACTATAGTCCAGAAGTGGACGAGCAACCAGAAATTTCCAACGGAGTTTACAGCTGGTGAAAGCAACGAAGAAGAAGAAGTAACACATTACATTATCATGAATAAGAATAACACAGAATCACTTAACTGACTTATGTCTGATAGAAATCACATTTCTGTCTGACCAGTAGAATATCTGACAGGTGTATGGCCACTGGAAATAAGTACTGGCTAGATAAAGCTGTGAGAGACAAGGGCTGTAACTCAAAGATGTTAATAATAATAAGCTTGACAGATATATGCAGACTCAAATTTCAGCTATGAATTTGTCTAGTTTAGCTGTCTGTCTCTACCAGAGTGGTCAGATACCTACCAAAAGCATCACACAAATCACTCAACTCCATTGCTGCAGTGACCTGTGACATTTCCCCTCTCTTTCCTTGTCTCCCAGGAAACTCTGGAACACCTACTGGACCAAATAATGACAGAGTCAGAAACTGAACCTTTAGATTGCAAGTTGGAGGATTGAACCATTTTGCTATGGAACTCCTAAAAGCATCATGGTGTAGTCAGTTGTTGTTTTAGTTTCAGCCTGAGAGAAATGAGAAAATCAATATAATGTGGTCATATTCAGAGTCTATAAGTGCTTGGATCCTTTCTTCAGTATGTCCCTCAGCAACCTCAGTTCTGTGTTGGTTTACTTTTTTTTGTTTAGTCATTTAGAGAGTAACTGATCAACATGCATTTGAGAAATTGCAGTGACTGCCTCTAGCTCCATTCCCAAGTCTTGGCTTCTTTGTTGTTGACTTACTGAAATAAAAAGAACTGCAATTGTTTTTCAGAGTTGGTAACAAGTTCTTTCATCTACATGAAGGATGAGCTGGAGTCAGATTTCAAGATTTGGTGCACTGAAAAACTTCCAACTGAAAAATTGTGCATTACTGTTGAAAGTTTCTTCTCGTGAGAACCAGTACTTTCTAAGTTGTGACTGCATGCTTCTGCCTCGAACAGTCAGTAGAAGCTTGTCCTCACAGACTGCATGCAGCCCAGAGAAAGTATATAGTGCAGACAAAACATGGGCAGTGCATGATGCAGACAGAACATTTGCACTACAAACTACACATAGAACACATGCAATTCATTCTACAGTCACCAGAAGAAGTTTGCAAATAAGAAACCCCATGAATTTGTACCTGAATGTGTTGCTGCTGCATTCCTCTGGCCGGAGAAACTTTAGTACTTCTTCAGCAAGAACAGATAAACAGAACCAGCTTCAAAGTAAAGATGCAGCTATGAGCACAGACAATGCGGGAGTAAACAGGGAACAGGCAAAACCAGAGACAGACCTAGCCACAAATGGATCTGTTAAAGAAGGTGGTGACGCTGTGAAAAAGCTGACACTCTACCAGTGGTTCAAGAAAACTTACAAGGAGCATGGGAAGATTCTCGTTGCTGTACATTTGCTGACTTCAGCAGTTTGGTTTGGGTCCTTCTATACAGTTGCCCGTTGGTAGGTATTTATGTATGTGTGTGTTTTCGTTTGTTTGCGAGGGTGGGTGGTATGGTCTGTCAGAACGGCTTTTTTTTTTTAGCATTAGAAAATCATTTGGCATGTTGTGTTCACAGCCAGACTGCAATTCTGCATCTTTTAGCCCAACACCTTAGAGAAAAAAAGAGGGAAGGGAGGGAGATGTAGGTTTTCTGTCAGAGTGTCTGTTGTGATGTGGTTTACAGCTAGACTGTGATTTATTTGCCTTTCAACTTAACACTTTAGAGAAAAAAGAATTGGGTAGGAGAGATGTTTTTGTCTCAGAGTGGTTTCTTTTGCATTATAAAGGCAGTTGGCATATCATGTTGTGGTTTACAGCTAGGATGCGATTTCTTTGGCCTGGCACATTAGATTTCAGTAAATGTTTTCTTTATTAGTCACTTTTACGATATGCTTGTTAAGGGGCTGTAATCTAATCTTTTTGTTGTTGTAAAAACTTAGTGTTTAGTAGGGATCACTGCTTGCCCGTACTAAAACCCTTTGGAAATAAAGTTTTCTTACTTTTTCTATTGTAAATATTTTCGTTTCAGTGGTGTTGATGTTGTTTCATTTATGGAAAAACTGAACTTCAGTGAGAAAATTATCTCTCCATTTCGTTCTGGTGGCCTTGGAGATGTGGCTGTTGCATATCTGATGTACAAACTGGCAACCCCAGCCAGGTATACGGTCACAATTGGTGGAACCAATCTGGCCATTAAGTAAGTTGTTTGATTTTGTATGTGCAGAACCATGTGAGTTCTAAATAACTTGTGTATGATTTGAAATTCAATAAGTTTCTGTAGCATTTTAGTTTTTATGAGGGGGGGGGGGGGTGACTGCAAATGAAAGCTTCCTCCTTTCTCATCCTGTCTTGGGACCGGCAATGGCAGTAGAATTTGAAGATTAATGCGGATTACTGGTTTAAGAATCGACATCATAGTGTACCCCCACATACTTATGGATGCTTCATCTCCCACAGCGAATGTCTTGAGACGTAGATGCTGTTTCTATAGTGGCCTGTCCCTGGAGAGTTTATTTAATATCATTGGTTGCGTTTGCACATAACAGTTGTTGTTTGTTTGCGTTCACCGGTTGTAAACCTCAGTGAAAGGACCTATTTGATTGTCCATTTCTGGACTTGGGCTTTGTTCCAGGAGCTAAGATTTGCTTTTGCATCCATTTTACAGTTCTTGCTCATTTGTATGCAGACTGTTGGTTCCTTGCCTCTCAGGCAAGTGCACTCGGACTTGGAAGGAAGTTGCCAATTAGTCGCCTCTTATGACACGCTTGTTGGGGAGGCAGTGGGTCTGTTCTTGTTTTCCCTACAATAGGACTTGGGTACCCACACGGGGAACACATACAAGTGATCAGGAGACTAGGTTAAAGGTTAGTTGCGTATCCTTTACAGGACGTTGCAGAACCAACCCCAGCAGCCTCTAGCTGTTGTGTGGTTTCTCTAGGCAAATTTACGTCCAGTAGTTTCCCATTGCTTACTGGACGGTCGGCCCCCTGATACCACTGTCGAGGCCAACGCAAGGCACATGGCCCGCAGCTGGGATCGAACCCATTACCCCGTCAGTATGAAGCGCTCTCATCAACTTAGCCACAGAGCTGACTAAGGAGACTAGGACATGAACATATTTACTCAAAATAAAATTTAGGGACTTTTCTTATGAACAAAATAAAATCAGTAAACGTCCCTTTAGGCGCATCGGGCATATGGAAAGAGCACCTATATTTTTACAGATTAGATTGTCAGGGCAAGTCTTTGCAGTCTTATTATGTGCAAAGTTTGAAGTTCTCAGTAACCGTTATTCCCGCATAGACCAGTGTTGCCACTTTGGATCTTTTATATCCAAATTTAGATCTTTTTCATTGCATTTAGATACTGTTTTTGTGATTTAGATTGTAAATATTTGTCTAGAAGCTTTTCAATTTCAAACTGTGACCATTTGATCGATTTGTAAAAAAATCTTGGACTAGTTCAATTTGAAAAGTGTGATGTAAAAAGTATAGTTTAGGAACTGAAGGACCTTTTAATCAGCAAACAGTTAGGCTTGAAGAATTTGGCTGTAATTGGTACTGATAATGCCTCAGTGATGGTTGGTATAAACAATGGCGTTTATGCCAAGTTGAAGGAAGCTAACCCATCGTTAATACTTATAAAATGTATGCGTCATTCATTGCAGCTAGCATTATCACATACTTCATCTAAATATTTACCAAGGAATTTGGAATACCTTATTTGCTGAAACACTTTACTGGTTTTCCAAATCATATGTCAGACAACAGCAATACAATACATTATATACGGCCTTGAATGATAGTTCCACACCACCGAAAATTCTGTCAGATTGCAAAACTAGATGGTTATCAATTTAACCAGCTGTTGAAAGAATTATGAAGCAATGGCTGAAGTTGAAGACACACTTTGAAATAACAAGACAAAGTGAAAAGTGCTACACAGCTGAAATACTATATGGAATGTACAGTGATGAAAAAAATTTGGCATTCATTCTAATTTTATAACCTATTCTAATGGAAGTGCAAAAAGTTAATAAACTGTTCGAATCTAAACTTGTTGATAAAGTTAAATTATTTGATGATCTCACCTTGCTATTTCACTCCGTAAAAGACTGGTGTTGCCAACTTCTAAAGCTGATTTGCTCACTTGCACTATAGAGAGCTATATGGCTCCTAAGCCACACCTTGGATATTAAATCGAATCAAAAATTGATGATTTAAAAACAAAAGGACTGTTAACAGAGAATGAAGAGAATAACTTAAGAAAATGCTGTCAAGATTTCCTTATCTCATTATTGAAGCAGAGACTTCCTGGAAATCTAGATGTTTTGAAAAATATTTCACTTTTTTCTGTGAGCAACATACTTCAGCCAATAAAGGACATACCTAATATTTGTCAAGTTATGAAATTTTTAGGGGCTACTGATAATAGTGTCGCGGAAGTAGAATATCAGTTAACCAAAATAAAGTTAGCTGAATGGACAAACCAAACAGAAACTAAAGCGTTTTGGAGTGAAGTGAGACAATTTAAAGATGCCTCATCAAACAGTCCATTCTGTAAGCTCTTTAAAGTGCCATGTCTACCATGATACTACCCCACTCAAATGCTGACGTAGAAAGAGTTTTCAGTGCTAGGAATTATATCAAATCTAACCTAAAAAACAGGATGAAATTTGACCTCTTAAATGCTATCGTGCCATTAAAATTCGGCCTGATGAGACTAGAGAAATAAGCCTACTGTTCTACTTATAAAGAAATTTGAACAGCTAAAGCATACCAGGGTCATTTTGGATCCGAAGCTTCAACTTCATTATCCAAGCTAAGTTTTTCCTGTGGATCTTGTGAGGCAGACATCAGTGAAGGTGAGGACATAATTATGTAGTGTAAGTCATAACAAAAGCTATGTAATTTTTGACTTTTTCAATTTGAAAGTTTTTTCTAGATCTTTTCCACGCAGATTTAGATCTTTTTAGATATTTTTTGACACCGTTTTGGATATTTTTTGTCAAAGAAAAGTGGCATCACTGGCATTGACTGTGCTCGAGAAACTCCACAGACTTGTGTCTGCCAAGGGGGTCTACAACTTTTGACTGCTAACATCAGGGTCTACAACTTTTGACTGCTAACATCAGGGTCTACAACTCTTGACTGCTAACATCAGGGTCTACAACTCTTGACTGCTAACATCAGGGTCTACAACTTTTGACTGCTAACATCAGGGTCTACAACTTTTGACTGCTAACATCAGGGTCTACAACTCTTGACTGCTAACATCAGAGTCTACAACTTTTGACTGCTATCATCAGGGTCTACAACTTTTGACTGCTAACATCAGGGTCTACAACTTTTGACTGCTAACACCAGGGTCTACAACTCTTGACTGCTAACATCAGGGTCAACTCTTGACTGCTAACATCAGGGTTTACAACTCTTGACTGCTAACATCAGGGTCTACAACTCTTGACTGCTAACATCAGGGTCTACAACTCTTGACTGCTAACATCAGGGTCTACAACTCTTGACTGCTAACATTAGGATCTACAGCTATTGACTGCTAACATCAGGGTTTACAACTCTTGACTGCTAACATCAGGGTCTACAGCTCTTGGCTGCTAACATCAGGGTCTACAGCTCTTGACTGCTAACATCAGGGTCTACAACTCTTGACTGCTAACATCAGGGTCTACAGCTCTTGTCTGCTAACATTAGGGTCTACAGCTCTTGACTTCTAACATCAGGGTCTACAACTCTTGACTGCTAACATCAGGGTCTATAACTTGTGACTGCTAACCTCAGGGTCTACAACTCTTAGCTTGACTGCTAACCTCAGGGTCTACAACTCTTAGCTTGACTGCTAACCTCAGGGTCTACAATCTCTTAGCTTGACTGCTAACATCAGGGTCTACAATCTCTTAGCTTGACTGCAAATATCAGGGTCTACAATCTCTTAGCTTGACTGATAACATCATGGTCTACAACTCTTAGCTTGACTGCTACCATCAGGGTCTACAAACTCTTAGCTTGACTGCTAACATTAGGGTCTTCAACTCTTGACTGCTAACATCAGGGTCTACAACTCTTAGCTTGACTGCTAACATCAGGGTCTACAATCTCTTACCTTGACTGCTAACATCAGGGTCTACAATCTCTTAGCTTGACTGCTAACATCAGGGTCTACAATCTCTTAGCTTGACTGCTAACATTAGGGTCTACAACTTTTGACTGCTAACATCAGGGTCTAAAATCTCTTAGCTTGACTGCAAACATCAGGGTCTACAGTCTCTTAGCTTGACTGCTAACATCAGGGTCTACAATCTCTTAACTTGACTGCTAACATCAGGGTCTACAATCTCTTAGCTTGACTGCTAACATCAGGGTCTACAGTCTCTTAGCTTGACTGCTAACATCAGGGTCTACAATCTCTTAACTTGACTGCTAACATCAGGGTCTACAATCTCTTAGCTTGACTGCTAGCATCAGGGTCTACAATCTCTTAGCTTGACTGCTAACATCAGGGTCTACAATCTCTTAGCTTGACTGCTAACCTCGGGGTCTACAATCTCTTAGCTTGACTGCTAACATCAGGGTCTACAATCTCTTAGCTTGACTGCTAACATCAGGGTCTACAATCTCTTAGCTTGACTGCTGACATCAGGGTCTACAACTCTTAGCTTGACTGCTAACCTCAGGGTCTACAATCTCTTAGCTTGACTGCTAACATCAGGGTCTACAATCTCTTAGCTTGACTGCTGACATCAGGGTCTACAACTCTTAGCTTCACTGCTAACCTCAGGGTCTACAACTCTTAGCTTGACTGCTAACATCAGGGTCTAAAACTCTTAGCTTGACTGCTAACATCAGAGTCTACAATCTCTTAGCTTGACTGCTAAGATCAAGGTCTACAAACTCTTAGCTTGACTGTTAACATCAGGGTCTACAACTCTTGACTGCTAACCTCAGGGTCTACAGTCTCTTAGCTTGACTGCTAACCTCAGTGTCTACAGTCTCTTAGCTTGACTGCTAACCTCAGTGTCTACAGTCTCTTAGCTTGACTGCTAACCTCAGGGTCTACAGTCTCTTAGCTTGACTACTAACCTCAGGGTCTACAACTCTTAGCTTGACTGCTAACATTAGGGTCTACAATCTCTTAGCTTGACTGGTAACATTAGGGTCTACAACTATTAGCTTGACTGCTAACATTAGGGTCTACAACTCTTAGCTTGACTGCTAACATCAGGGTCTACAACTCTTAGCTTGACTGCTAACATCAAGGTCCACAATGTTTGGTTTGACTGCTAACATCAGGAACTTCAACTCTTAGCTTACTGTAAAGTCATGGGAAGTAAAGGCAGCAAGCGTGATGTGAACCACATCACCCAATGAGAGCCGATTGGTCTATACAAATGTGAATATAGCCACCTATGCCCGATGTGCCACTGACATATAAGGTTTTTTTTAATTTACTGGGATGTAGTGTCATTCTCCACCTGTGTTTTGTTTCGCTAGGTATATACTGTGTACGGGGATATAGTGTCATTCTCCACCTGTGTTTTGTTTCACTAGGTACTTACTGTGTACAGGGATATAGTTTCATTCTCCACCTGTGCTTTGTTTCACTAGGTACTTACTGTGTACGGGGATATAGTGTCATTTCCCACCTGTGTTTTGTTTTGCTAGGTATTTACTGTGTACGGGGAAATAGTGTCATTCCCCACATGTGTTTTGTTTCACTAGGTACTTACTGTGTACGGGGATATAGTGTCATTCTCTACCTGTGTTTTGTTTTGCTAGGTATTTACTGTGTACAGGGATATTGTGTCATTCTCCACCTGTGTTTTGTTTCACTAGGTATTTACTGTGTATGGGGAAATAGTGTTATTCTCCACCTGTGTTTTGTTTTGCTAGGTATTTACTGTGTACGGGATATAGTGTCATTCTCTACCTGTGTTTTGCTTTGCAAGGTATTTACTGTGTACGGGGAAATAGTGTCATTCTCTACCTGTGTTTTGTTTTGCTAGGTATTTACTGTGTACGGGGATATAGTGTCATTCTCTACCTGTGTTTTGTTTTGCTAGGTATTTACTGTGTACAGGGATATAGTGTCATTCCCCACATGTGTTTTGTTTCACTAGGTACTTACTGTGTACGGGGATATAGTGTCATTCTCTACCTGTGTTTTGTTTTGCTAGGTATTTACTGTGTACAGGGATATAGTGTCATTCTCTACCTGTGTTTTGTTTCACTAGGTATTTACTGTGTATGGGGAAATAGTGTTATTCTCCACCTGTGTTTTGCTAGGTATTTACTGTGTACGAGGATATAGTGTCATTCTCTACCTGTGTTTTGCTTTGCTAGGTATTTACTGTGTACGGGGATATAGTGTCATTCTCTACCTATGTTTTGTTTCACTAGGTATTTACTGTGTATGGGAAAATAGTGTTATTCTCTAACTGTGTTTTGTTTTGCTAGGTATTTACGCAAAGAAGGCAAGATACCCCACGTGCCTCATGAAGATAGATTCAGATCTCTCTACACTGAGGGCAAAGAACACTTCAAGAAGAGGTCTCGCATTCACATGAGGAGACTGAGAAAGAAGCATGGCATTAAATCGAGGTTTGGACATACCAAAGAGAAACATTGATCCTGCCCTAGCGTTGCCTGTGTGTTGTAGATCTGTATAATATCTTACAGAGTTTATATTGACTGGTCACCATATTTGTCTTGTTATTGTGATCAGAGGCACTTGAAAAATTATACATTTCAGTTTGAAGGACTCGAGGCAAGCTTGTAGAATGTTGATGAATTTTGAATTAGGAATCGACATCATAGCACATGGGACACCCCTATAAGCGCTCTGTCCCCATATTCAGCAGCAAACGAAGAGTTCTAATTCCGATGGCACCAATAACTCTGATTGTATACCCGTCTCACCCTGATTGAATACACATCTCGCCCTTTCCTTGAGTATTCAGCATCGGCCAAATCACCTGGTAACTCCTCGCAGCGCCATTCTTCTTAGACAATAATGATCTATTTGCGCTTCCGCACTGTTCAGTCACTCCCACAGGGCCCTCACAATGTCTTGACTTGTCATACATCAATTCACAACCAAGTGGCACAGAACCTATCTGAAAACTCATTTCCGACACTCAGTGCTCCTTGTAAGTAAATGACTGTTTGTACCCCAGTGGAATATGCTGCTAGACTTGTATTTTGATAGACCAAACTGCAGTCTGTGGATGATATGGTCAGCATCACTCACACCTGCCACCTTTATTTCCCAGAACGTTACCTATTAGCCATTTTGCTGGGTCGACTTGGGACCCTTTTCCAGCCTTTAGACACATTAGGCATATAGGGCTAGACCTATATTTTATAGACCAATCGGCACTTGGTAGGTGATGTGGTCAGCGTCACGCCCGCCACCTTTACTTCCCAGGACTGCACGTGGTACCCACTAAAGGCTGGGCTCCATTAGTGACCCAGAACCAACAATCTTCCGATCTGCAGGCAGGAGTATGCCTCCTTATAACACAATATAACATGATCATCTGGAAAAATAGAAAGGTGGCAACAACAAACTCAGTGAAGTTTAGAACTTCAGATCTTTGGGTTGACGGGTGAGCATCTCGCCGGGATGCTGTGGGGCTCCATGTACTTGATAATTGGGTTGAACTTGTGTCCTGTTCTGTGTAAACAAAATAAAAAAAGAACCTATTTGTTTTATCAGGCTTATGGTGCTAAATCCATGTTTTCTAGAGCAATCAACACTTGACGGTTGATGTGGTCAGCAACTTGCTGGTCACCTTTATTTCCCCTGGCATTTCCTAGTTAACATTTTAGCTTGGGTTGATCTGGCATCACTTGGCTAGTTATACAAATTTGCTGATGTTGATTTGATGGCAAGGCTTTCAGGTTTGCAGGCAAATGTCTAATAACTGGACTAGCACAGCTGTTTCTGGTCTACATATTCACCCCTAAAAACAGAGTGGCCAGCATCGCTTCAGAGGTCCCAGTTATTAGATATCTTTTGTTGTTTTCTCCCTGGAATACCGGTTTGTTGGGAAATGAACATGCAGTAGATTGGCAGGTTCGGCACCACTTGGTGGTAAACTGATGAATGTGGACGCGAGAAAACAGTGCAGAGGCACAAGTAGATCATCACAGTGTGGAGAGAAGGGTGCAGCCAGGAGTGCTAGGGGATCTGATCGACACTGAACACTCAATGGAGGGACGAGATGGAGCGAACGAATGAACAAACTTTAATTTTAAAGGGTCAAGAATTGAGCGTGCAGGCCCGTCTAACATTATGCCCTTCGAGGTCCTCCTCCGTTCTTACAGCATTTCATTCGCACATCATAGACATACAGTCAGACTGTTACTGGTACCGTCAAAATTTGAATTTTATGCTTGCTGCTGAAGATGAGGATGGAATGCATATGGGAACATCTCGAGCAATCATGGCTGCATTGTAATCGAGTGCTTGTAACATAAGTGTTATTTATAGTGTTATAAATTAGTGCTTTTTATTGAGTTATAAAGAAGTACTTCTAGTGTTATTGTTGAGAGCTTGTATTATAAATAGGGGCTTGTGGGGTCATAAATAAGTGGTTGTAGTGTCATAAATGAGGGCATATGGTGTCATAAAAGAGGGCTTGTGGGGTCATAAATGAGGGCTTGTGGTGTCATAAATGAGGGCTTGTGGTGTCATAAATTAGAGCTTGTGTCATAAATTAGGGCTTGTGGTGTCATAAATTAGGGCTTGTGGTGTCTTAAATGAGGGCTTGTGATGTCTTAAATTGGGGCTTGTGGTGTCTTAAATTAGGGCTTGTGGTGTCATAAATGAGGGCTTGTGGTGTCTTAAATTGGGGCTTGTGGTGTCATAAATAAGGGCTTCTGATGTCATAAATTAGGGCTTGTGGTGTCATAAATTGGGGCTTGGGGGTGCTATAAATGAGGGCTTGTGTCATAAATTAGGGCTTCTTCTTCTTCTGCCTTTCTATCCCCCAATGGAGCATAGGCCCTCAACCAACTCACGCCAAGTTGTTCTATCCTTCGCCATTACATGAAGCTCTCCCCATGTCCTCCCCATCTAACCTCATTCTCCAGCTCCCTTCTCCATGTGTTTCTTGGCCTTCCTTTATTCCTATGCCCCTGTGGGTTCCAATGCAAAGACATTCTAGTTATGCTGTTCTCCTGTTTTCTCAGTGTGTGTCCTATCCAACGCCGGCATCTTTTCCTCACCTCTTGGTCCACCGGAGCCTGTTTAGTTCTCTCCAAAAGCTATACATGAGTTATTCTATCATACCATTTAATTCCTTCTATTCTGCGCAGGCACCAGTTAATGAATGTTTGTAGTTTATTAGTAATTGCCTTAGTTGTTATCCATGTTTCCGCCCCATACAAAAGTACTGATTTGACATTAGAATTAAAAATTTTTAGTTTAGTATTTCTTTTAATTTGTTTTGACCTCCACAAATTCGCTAGTGCTATGAAAGCTTCTCTTGCCTTTTGTATTCTTATTTTAATATCTCTATAAGTTCCTCCATCTTTATCTACATTACTGCCCAAATAGGTGTACGACTCCACGTCTTGGAGTGGGGTGCCATTAAGGGAAACCACATTACTATTTGCCTGTTTTATTCTCATTATCTTTGTCTTTCCTTTATGGATTTTCAGATCAAGCTGCTGTGATCTCGCATCTAATATATTTAATTTATCTTGCATCTGATTCTGTGAATGGGACAGAAAAGAAATATCATCAGCAAAGTCCAGATCATCAAGCTGTTTTGTAGGGGTCCACTGAATTCCATTCTTGGTGTTAGCAGTTACTGTTGTCATAATCCAGTCTATAGCCAGTAAAAATAAGAGAGGTGACAAAAGACATCCTGTTTTTATTTCAAATGAATCTGTAAATTAGGGCTTGTGGTGTCATAAATTAGGGCTTGTTGTGTCATAAGTGAGGGCTTGTGGTGTCATAAATTAGGGCTTGTGGTGTCATAAATTAGGGCTTGTGGTGTCATAAATTAGGGCTTGTGGTGTCATAAATGAGGGCTTGTGTCATAAATTAGGGCTTGTGGTGTCATAAATTATGGCTTGTGGTGTCATAAATTAGGGCTTGTGCTGTCATAAATTAGGGCTTGTGGTGTCATAAGTGAGGGCTTGTGATGTCATAAATAAAGGCTTGTGGTGTCATAAAAGAGGGCTTGTAGGTGCCATAAATGAGGGCTTGTAGGTGTCATAAATGAGGGCTTGTGTCATAAAAGAGGGTTTGTGGTGTCATAAATGAGTGCTTGTGTCATAAATTAGGGCTTGTGGTGTCTTTAAATAGGGCTTGTGTTGTCCTAAATGAGGGCTTGTGTTGTCATAAATGAGGGCTTGTGATGTCATAAATGAGGGCTTGTGGTGTTTAATGAGGACTTACATTGTCATAAACAAGGGCTTGGGGTGTCACAAATGAAGGCTTGTGGTGTCATAAATTAGGACTTGTAGTGTCTTAAATGAGGGCTTGTGGGTGCCATGAATGCAGGCTTGTGTCATAAATGAGGGCTTGTCGTGTCATAAATTAGGGCTTGTGGTGTCTTAAATGAGGTTATGTAATGTCATAAATGAGGTCATGTGGTGTTTAATGAGGACTTGCATCGTCATAAACAAGGGCTTGGGGTGTCACAAATGCATCCTTATGGTGCTGTACATTAGGACTTGTGGTGTTTAATGGGTGCTTGTTGTGTTATAGATAAGTGCCCGTGACCCTATAAATGAGTGCTTTGGTGGGATAAATAGGTGCTTTTACTGTTGATAAATAAGTGCTTTTGTAGTTTCATAAATGAGTCCTTATAGTGTTACAAATGAAAAGCTGCAGCTTCATATTCAAAAGACTCTAGCTACAAATAAATCACTCTGAGAGTTTCGTAAATGTCACAGCAGTAGTATTGTTAATATATTATTGTGATGTAATAAATTGGTCAGACAAGACTCCAGAGTGTAATAAATTGGTCAGACAAGACTCTGGAGTGTAATAAATTGGTCACTTTAGGTGTGTCATTCTAAGAGCTCACCGGCTGTGAACTCTGGCAGAAAGTTCTGGTTGTTCATGCACTTCTGGACTTTGGTCTTGTTCTACAACTTGAGTTTTGCATGCTCATTCTCTTACAGGTCTGGTTTATTTGTATGCAGACTGTTGGTTCCTTACCTGTCCAGCAGATGCACTTCAACTTTAACTCTTTCTCTCCCAAGGAACGCATCACACCTTCACTGGTTTCTACCTAGAAGCCCAAGGAACGCAACATGCATCGATTTTACGTCGTTTTTAAATACACTTGGGCCTCTGATTGTGAGTCCGACTCGTAATTCCAACGTACCGTGATTGGAACCCACTGCTGGCTGTGTAACATGGTATGGGGCGTCGCAGCCTAAAATGGATACCAGGATGGCTGTCCTGGGGAAGTTAAGATTGCCGGCGTAATGCTTACCACATTACCCACCTAGTGCCAATGGTCTGTAAAAATATGGGCTCTCTTCCCATACACTCACTACGCCTAAAAGGCGTGAAAAGGGATCTTTACTTTACTTGGGCCTCTGATGCTTAATCCCTGTAATGTTTCAAATCCTCAATATTTGCTACAATCTTGTAACAGTGTG